GGGGAGAAAGAGGGTAAAGAAATCAGAGAACGAGAGGAGGGAGGGGGAAAGGGGCAAAAGAAGAGATGATTGGAAGATGAAAGAAAGTCAGGGCAGGAAGAGAGATGGGGTAAGGGAGGTGAAGTGTGAGTAGAGTGTGAGGGATGTAAGGGGTGAGGGGACATGGAGTGTCAAAGGCAAGAAGTATGGTGCCAAGGAGGTGAGGCAAGGGAGGTAGAGAAGGGTGAGAGATCTGCAGTGAAGGTTGGAAGGGTTGGGAAGTTGCAGGTAGATGGGGAGTGGCATGGGAACATTCAACTGTTGGAGATGAACCAAGTGGAACAGGAAGTAATCAGGCCAGAAAGACCTGTAAGTAACCAGAAAGGTAAGTTTTGGGAGAAGCAGAGGTGTGTGGATACATGGATGAGGGTTAGAGAGTGTGGTGTGAGATGTGGTTTGGGAAGGGTCTAGGCTCTTAGAACTCTGTGCAGTTAGCGCTCACTGAAATATGGTGGGCATGTTGAACAGAGTGGAGGGAGTCGGTCAGGGTGCAGGTCAATGATCTAGAGAGGCCCATTTCAACAAGTGGCTGCTTTGTCACTGCCAGCTTTAATTCACTACGCCCTTGTCCCAGCTGTAAGCATTGCGTCTTCTCCGTGCCTGCTCTTAGATCTGGGTCCCTGACTTTTCCTAGAACACCATGCATGCAGTCCTTAGTGATGATGAGATGAACCGCTGTGGATCTGGAGGCTCCACCCCTAGGGCCAGCTTTGCTGCGATTCCCAGGAGGCTGCTTATTGATGGTGGCTTCCCTTTTCCTCCGCCTCCAAACAGGGACAGGGAACGCTTTCTAGCTTTAAGAGTTCTGGGCCAGAGAGAACGAACGCCTGGGTGACAACAAGAACCACCATTCAACTTAAGACTCCTGCCCTTTGCCTAGTACTTCAAGCCCCTTGCTTTTAGGACCCATTATCTCCCGTGTTAGCCTGAGAGTCCTGCTTGGCAGGAAAGCTGTGGCAGGTGGGAGGAGAGAAGGCAGTGAGGCAGAAACAGCTGCCAGCCGGAGTGGAGGAAGAGCAGGGCCCCAGTGGGTTTGGGCAGAAGGCAAGGGGCTGGCTTTGGCAGCCCCCACCCTCTCCCTCTGTGGGGGTGTTGGGGCCAAACCTCCTTCACTAACCTCTCCCACCCAATGCTGATGATCAGGGAGCAGACTCTACTATGTCTAACCTCTGGATAGAAGCAGATCTCTACGGTCACCTGATCCAATCCCTTCTTCCACGCAAATACAGTCCTAGAGTCATCTCCATGGTATTTTCACCCAGCAGTCCACTTGTATTAGGCTAGATACTTCCTGGGGACAGGAGCTCTAAGGCAGTCTGTTCCTTCTTTGCAACGAAAAACAGAAGGGAGAGCCTCTGATGTGCTAAGCTTAGATGCTGTTCAGACTTCTCATTAATACTGAACTTATGGGGCTTTACTGATGAATAAGCCCCATTTGAAAGATGAAAAAGTGAGGCTCAGAGACTTGAGGTTCATAGGTTCAAGGTTACACTGGTAGGAAGGGAAATCTAGGTTGGAATGCAGGACTTTTTGTGTAGTCCCTTGGGGCCAATCAAGACATGCATCTTTCATAGAAGGACAATCCTTTTGAGGTGTGAAATCTGAGGCCATATTTTCCTGAGTCCCCTCTTTTCCAAGTCAAACTCCTTTAACTCTCTCCAGGGAATTTAAGCTCTAGCTTCCTTCTCAAATTATCAGTTGATACGCCCCAGTATCAAACATGCAGGCTGCCAGGTGAGTGTCAGGCAGTCTGGAGTGGATGGGCACCATCCCATCCTTCCTCAACTAGCTGATGAGTGCAGCTAATGGCTGCCAAAAGAGCTGACGATGTCCCTCATCTTGGGCCTCTTCGGCCTTCTTAGAGGACTAGCTGTGAGAAAAGAAGCCAGACTTTGCTCCCATGCCCTCATTCTCCTCGCCCTGAGTGTTCTGAATTGAGAGGAGGACAGAGAAGTGGGAGAGGCAATCAGCAGTAGGAGGGGCATGGCAAGATTAGGAAGATGAAGATCCGGGAGGAGATTTGTATGGTAACCCTGGGCAAGGCCAAGGGAGTCAAGTGTGCATGTATGCAGGAGGAGGGGATTCACAGGGAACTAAGGAAGGGATAGGATACGGCCCTCAGACCTAGGAGAGGCCAGTATGGGGATGGGCATTGGCTCGGGTTAGCCTCATCTCTCTGCTATGCGAGAGGAAGTCAGTCGCACATTAAGGAAATGTTGCAGCTGGTACTAAATTGGGAGGTGTCATAGGCAGCAGTGAGGACAGGTATGATTCCTGGGGCCCTGGGTGGCTCAAAACAGGGGCAGACATCTCGGAGGCAGAGAATGGGGTTTCTAGGGCCACACAGGAAGGATCTGACGGAGGCACTTAGAACAAGGGCCCTGGGGATAGGGGGTCACCTGGCTCAAGAACCAGCCTCCAGACTTGGTTTACAGATGTAGAAGAAACCTCCTCATCCTCCTAGGCCTTCAGACTGTCGCTTAAGAGGATTCTGGGTGTGGGGCATTAGATCCATGGGATTCCATTTGGGGTGTGGGCTGAAAGGAGGGCTCTGAGCTCAGGGGAAGGCTGTGAGAAGGTGGGGTGAATGACTGGGGAAATGGGGCTTCAACAAGGAGATCAGAGCTGCCTTTCTCTTTCGTGTCGTCAGAAAACTGGATGAAAGACCATAGGTTTGGGCCTCGGTTGAAGGAGAAAGCTTTGGAAGAGGTAGAAAACACAGAACCTAGGAGCTGCCACAGCCCTGCTGCCAGCCTGAGACACAAGCAAGAGCAGGAGAGCTCACCTGCTGCTGGAGAGAAACAAGGAGACAGGAGAAAGGGCCTGGGGAACTTGATGGGAGGCCGTGGATTAGCATGAGGACAGGGAGCTGGAGTACTGGAATCCCTGCTCATCGTTGAGAGCAAACTGTGTGCCTCAGTTCCCTCCTCTGTAAACGGAGGTAATCTAGGCAGCTGTGCTCTCATAACGTGTGTGAATGATTGAAACCCCTAAACGTTACATCTAGGCCAGGTGTTAGATTCTTACTACAAAATGCTACTAGCCATGCATTCCCTTTTAAATCTCACAAAACACTCGGGACTTGGGCAGGGCAAGGATCTTTTTCCTGTTTTACAAATGAGGAACTGAAAGATTAGAGGAAGTAAAATGAACGCGCCCAAGAGCAAACTGCTAACTAGCCCTCGACAGAGGTGGGACGACCTCCAGAATCAGAGAGAATCACTGCCTTCTCGGACATCAAACTGCTTTGTATCAGCAACCAGTGTGAGGGTTTTTAATTTAGCGTGGGGCCAGAAGGAGCTTGGAGCCAACTATCACCCGGAGAAAACCCCATAGAAAAGTTGTGCCATGGTTTTCATTCATTTTGGAGATTGAAAAAGAACTGTTGTGGCTATCGGCTTGGAAAGAGGACAGCAAGATATGGCTATCCTTTATTCTGTCGGCTAGGGGACAATATCTCTCTGCTCTCACTGAGGGTATGTGTCTTTCTTCATGTGATTGTATGCATGTCTCTGACACCGTAGGGAGATGTATGTGACACGGTGCCCGCTTCGACAGCACTGTTTACGAACGTGACAACCTCTCTGGTTCTCTGTGTGACTTGGTCTGGAGTATTGCTGGTGGTGCACGGCTGGATATGTCTGTCTACCCGTCTGTACACCTTTAAGAAGTGGAATATCTCATTTGGTAGTGTGAGTGAGGCAGTGAGTCAGCTGAGGCTGAGCGAGGCGGGAGGAGACTGCTAGGTTACGAGAATAGGAAAAGGGAGAAGGAGAAAGTGAAGTGAGGATCAGGGAGCTACTCCTTCCTTTCCCAGCCCTCCGCCCCAAATCCCTCAGGGGCCCACAGAGAACAGCAGAACCTTGCAGAAGTCCACAGGAGCAAGGCTTGCCGGAAATGCTTGCTACCCCTCCTCAAAGCCTTGCAAGGAGATGATCTAGACCAGGAGGCGACTGCTTTCCTCTCCAGCTGGTGGCCCCCAGCTACAGAATGTGAGACCCCCCCTGGTCTTATTGTCACTTGACCTTTTTGACCTTGCTGTCCTCCTCCTTCCCCAAAGCAGGCCACCTGGCCAGGCAGGAAAAACAGGGAAGCAGCTTCAGGCCCCAAATGTGCATCGCCCCACCTACCTACTATACAGAAAAAACCCCGACTGAGGGTCAGGAAATCTCCCAACGCCCAGTTCTTCCCTAGGAGGGTCCCTTCTGCAGTTGCCAACGCTCCAGTTTCCTCTAGGTGCCCATCCCTAGCAGCCAGAAAGCCAGATTTTCCTGTCACCATCCAGGAGCCCTGGCAGTTCTGTGATGCGCCAACCTGGCATGGCCCTTCCACAAGCTGATGAGCCCTGTTCCCCGAGCCTTCTCTCATCAGAAGGCAGAAGCCTACAGGTTACCTCCTTAAGAAAAGATACACATCCCTGGGCTCCCCTGCCTAGGATCTGGCCAGATATCTCAGGTCATGTAAGGTCAACAGTGTGGTGTACCCTGTCACCAGGCGTGGCCTGGCCTCTCATCCATTGGCAGGAAGCAAAGGGTGAGGATTAGGTAGTCAAATATTCTTCCTCCTGCTGAGCACTCCCCTCCTCCACAGCCAGCCCCAGGATTAGTCCTACTCCAGGAGTGGGGTTCAGGGCCAACCAGGGTGTTGAGACTGGGGAGCACACTCTCTCCTGCTACCACTTTGCCAGTCCAGGGCCCTACTCCCCCCCCCCCCATGTGGCAAGCAGTACACCAGGAAGCTCCAGCCTTCAAATGTTCAAACCTTAAACTTAAAAGAAGTTGACCCGAATCCGTGCGGGTCCCTCTCTAGGGAGGGGTTCGAGGTGACACGGTGCTACACTGGGAATGGTGGGAGTGGTGTGCTGGGTAGAGAGGGAGACCTTTATTTTTTTTCCTGGTCCCACTGCCACAGAAACTGCCTCTAGCCAGGTAGCTATTGTGGCATGGGTGGCCAATCCCTACCTTGCAGCCTTTCGTGCACGACCGGATAGAGTACTCTTCTGCCTGCAAGTATTTATGTAGCACGAGGTCGAACTCGTCATATTTTTCCTGAGCATGTCGGTCCAGTCGCTGGTACGCCTCTATGCAGTTGCTACATGCCTCCCAGGTCCCGGAGCCTGGGCTGGCCATTACGGCCAGCAGGTCCCCCAGCAGGGTGTCCAGACTGCAGTCCAGGCTGTCTGGGCGGTCCATGCCAAGCAGCAAGTCCCAGACTGTGTAGGTGTCGCAAAAGGAGAGAGTGAAGTTCCGAAAGTGGCCTTTGAGCAAGTTTTTTTTGGCGGCGGGGAACTCCGGGTTACGGGAAGGGGCGTCAGGGGGCCGCAGAGGGGGAGCTGGGGTGGTCGGTTCAAAAAGTCTCTGCAAAGATTCCAATTTGGTGCAAGCTGCCTCCAGCCCCGTGGGCTCTGGGACGCCGCCGCAGACCGGCCCGGGGCCGGCGGCGGGGGCGGCTTTGGTCAGGTTGCTGTATCGCGGGCTGCAGGTGCCCGAGGACGCGCTGGACCC